AAATATACTTCTAATTGTGAGCAGTGTCATAAACTATTCATAAATATGTCCCTTGAGAAAATATTACTTTCATTGGGCATATATAATTTATTCCACTTAAAAATACTTAGAGGCTGAGTGTGGTGACACATACCCATAATACCAGCAACTTGGGAGACTAAGGTAGGAGGATTGCAAGTTTTGAGGCCAGCTACAGCAACTTAGAAAGGTCTTAAGCAACTTAGTGAAATTCTTACTCAAAGTAAAAGGGCTGAGGATGTGGCTCAGTAATAAAATGTCCCTGGGTTCAATTCTCAGCTATTCCACCCCCAACCCACAAGTGCTCAGACAGGGTCACTTGGAGATGGCTAAAGTTCTATGTCCCAAAGGAAAAAGGTAGGAAGGGGGAGAAGGGAGAAAAATGTAGTTTTATTAATAGCTTAGAGCAGTTTAAAATTAACCAAAGCAACTTATTTCTAAAAGTGATTTTCATTTAATTTTTTTTTTTAACAATACCTTTATTCTATTTATTTAATTTTATGTGGTGCTGAGGATTGAACCCAGGGCCTCACACATACTAGGCAAGCACTTTACCACTGAGCTATAGCCTCTGCCCTCCATTTAAATTTCAAAATCTTGAATTAATTTTTCCCTTTGGAAATGGGAACCATGCATAGGGACCAGAGCATATAATTTATCTTTTTTCTTACCTGACAAAAAAGAGATGGTAATTAGGAGGAAGTGAGTTTGCTTTTTCTCTGTAGTCTTCATCTCCTAGACCTCATCTTAGACTTGTTCCTTCATGCTAGCTATTTCATTGTTGTCATTTTTTTTTTTAATTTGAGAAAATAGAATTGAAAAACTCCATTTAGTAAAACAACTGTTATGGAAGCTTTGTGGATTAGTATCTAAGTAAACTAAAAACAGGTTGATTGGTTGATTACTTTGCAGCTCAGAAATGAAGGGCAAAGATTATGAAAGGAGTTGCATTAGTCATTTTATAAGAAAAGTATGAAGGAAAAAATGTCTGATTCCAGTTCTGTAGTGATTGGGAGGAAAACATTGGGGTGTTTTGCTAATGTTAAGTGCTCAAATAACTGTTAGCTGTTATTTCCAACAGAGTAGCAACTTCAGAATTGAACCCAAGCCGAGTGTGGTGGCTCATATCTATAATCCCATCTGCAAGAGGATCTCTAGTTCAAAGCCAGCCTTAACAATTTAGTGAGGTTCTAAAGCAACTCAGCAAGACTCAGACTCTAAATAAAAAAAAAATTATATATATATATATGTGTGTGTGTGTGTGTGTGTGTATCTATATATATCTATATCTATCTATCTATCTATCTCTCTATATATAATATAAATAAAAGGGATGGGGATGTAGCTCCCTGTTTAAGCATTACTGGGTACAATTCCTGGTACCTGGTTAAAAAAAAAATTGAACTCAAAAGGAATCATTTTTATTGAAACTATCATTGATATATATCAAAGTTAATACTTGGAATTTTGTGTAATAAAATAGTTCAATTTGAATTCTGTATAACACAGTATACAAAGCACTTTATACCTGTTAATTCATTTAATCTTTAAATACCCCATGAAATGGGTTCTGTTTAATCAAGTTCATAAAGAAAATTAAGGCACATATAGATGAACTGTTTAGAGTCCCCGACCCTGTGGCAAAGCCTGGGCATTTAATTCCAAGTATTGAGGTTCATTGATTGAATTACTTATAAATGACTTATTTCAATAAATAATTTGATAGGGTCTATAAAAAATTCAAGTAGGATAAAGGGATAAGTTTATGTAATTTACATTTAAAACAATTTCTGTTTTAAGTATATATAGCCTTGTAGATAAACAACCATTTTACCCACAACACAATTTATTTGTGTACAACATCATCCTTTTCCTTTTCTTCATCTTAATCTGCAGGATACAAATTCTAAAATAAATGAAATTTCTTCTGTAGTCAGTCAGAAACCTGATGCTTTTGACCAATAATCAAAAGGAGAAATGGGCATGCCTTCGTTTCTTTCTGACTTTTCATCCCAGTTCTGTCTGCTCTGAAGTGCTAACCGCTTTGTAGGGAACTTTTCCAGAATCCTTGTCTCATCCATGTTAATTTTTGCTTTGCTTTCAGGAGGAGCAAGGTGAAAGAAACTGTAGGAAGTGGGATTCATTACAAAGGAATATGGAAGATCTAATTAGATAGAATCATGGCTGTGCATTTTAAAATATCAGTATTATTGAATCTGTAATTGTATATTTGCCTTTTCCAGCTCAGAAATGTTTGCCCTGATACACTGGGTTATTTTATTTCTATCTGCTTGACGATAGGCTTTTAAAAAATGAACAATTGTAGAATTTCTTAAAATGTAAAATAATTAGATAATAAAGAGGAGACATTCAAATTCTTTTTTGATAGTCTCAACAGGTTATTGAGTGAGGTGTACAAAAAAAAAAGGAAAAATTTATATATGTATATAGATAGAGCTATAGATATCTTGGAATAGATTAAATAGTAAATAAAAGAATATTTATAGTACATAATCATGTAAACATATAGTATATAAGCAAAAATCTTTGTTTCTGGAAAGATTTCTTTGTATTTCATACCTGCATATCTTAACTCCTAAATAACTCACTTCTATATCTTCAAACACTTACCACTCCGAAACTTGGTTTTCAATAAATGGAAATAATTGCCCATTTGTTAGAATAAGGTGAATATGTAGTCCCAAAATTGTTTTCACTTCATCTGCATCCTTCCAGTTCTTACTCCATTACTTGAGAGTGTGCTCAGGGAAATCTTATTTCACCTGCCTGTGAAAGTCAGGTATCTTTTTATAGATGCTTAAGGTTCTGAATTCCTTTGTATTGCTGTTAGTTTATAATTATGTATTTAGTGTGAGTCATTGGTAAGTCTCTACCCTGGACTGCTGTAAGCTTCACGAGGGTCGGGGTAGTCAGTACCTGACACAGACAAGGTGCTCATTAAACAGTTTTTGAAATGATGAATGAAGAAATACTCTTTATTTTTTTCTGATGTTTGGCACTAATTTTTTTCCCATTTAAGGGAAGAGCAGCAAGTCTCTTTCTAATTCCCCAAACTAATTACTTGACATTAATGTGCTGATTTTATTTTTGCTGTTACCTAGAGTTGTAGAACATAATACTCAAAGCTATATTTTTAAATTTGTGAATCCAGCTCGTTTGTTTGGTTACTTTTTAATCTGTATATTTAAGTGATTTTTTTTTTTGATTTTAACTTGTTATTTTGTCACATAGGATATATTTTAAGGACTGTTGTTGGTGGCTTTTGTTTAGTGTGGGTCATTTTTGTTATCTTGATGTTTATTTGGAAATATATTAAGCAAATATACATTTTTATAAAAAATCTCTTTGTGTATTTCAGTGAGTTTGTTGTTATTTTTGGATTCTGTCATGATCCTTTTTGTCACATTGAGCTCTGTTCTTGTTTTCACTCATTTAAGCTTTGGTCATTTTATAACTTATTCTAATGTTTATTTATTAGGAATAATATAAGCAGAGATATCCTTTTTGGTAAGATGTAAGGATAGCACCTATTTGCACTGTGTTTGTACAGTGGTGTCTTTATTTCTGAAAGCACCTGTACTAAAGCAAGATCTGAGTGATCCTTGAACCTTGGGAATCTGTAGTTATACAGATGGCATGGCTTTCAAGGGATGAATTTTTCTCTGGAATACTGATAAGATGTTTTAATGGTGGGATTAACTCAGCCTTTTGGATGAATTATGAATAGTTCTGAATCATTATCACAGAAAGAATATTAAGAAGGAAGAAAAACTGGCTAAGCAGCCGGTAAAGATAAAGGAGTTATCAGTTATTTTTTTGTGCTATTTTTCTCTGTAGAAATGTTGTAGAAATATTGGAAACTGGGGAATATAACCATCTATTGGGAATAATTCTCAGCAACAATGTTTCTCTCAATTTTAAATTCAAGTCCTTACCTATTTGGGGATGACTAGAAAAATGAAAATCTTGTTCTCTGTTAGCAGTCGACTGGCCTCAGATTGTGAGACGTGTGTGTGGAACATTCCCAAGGCCACTACTACTTATCCAATTATTGAATGTTTCCAAATTTAAAGTTAGTATTATACTTAAATAAAAATTTGAACTGCTGATATATTATCAGTTTGAAATGTGGATTAACTCATTTAAATTCTATTTTAATTAGGACTCACTTTAATTTCTTTGCCTTTATGTGTCTGGAAAGTAGGTTAAAATCAGGCTTGGTCTGTCACTGTTTTACTTAATTCTGGTGATTTGTTTTACCTGTCTTATTATTATTATTAGTTTTTTACCAGTGTAGTATGTTGTACATAGTCATAGACACCAGAAACATTTTTCTCTTACTGCTGTGATCCTACTGTCTTCCATGAAAAAGGAGTGGGGCAATTCACTCAGTAGAAGTAGGAGATTCTAAAAATTCTTAAGACAACCCAGAAAATATAATCAGAGGAGAGATTCTAGCTCTATAGAAATTTCTTTAGGGCTGCTAGCTAGATTTTGTTAAAAGCAATACTGCCCTCTGGTGTCCAGAAGCCAGTTCTCCTTCATATCATTTTGAGTTAAAATGCTTGTTTTAGTCTTAAAGTGTAGACTCTAGGTACTTTTCAAAAAATCAGTAGTAATTATTTAAGACTTGGTTTAGTTCACTTGCTAGCTTGGAGTATGTTGGGTGAGATAACTTCGTATTGTTCTAGAGTCAATAATTTGTTTACTACCTCTCATCTGATAGGTAAAATCCAAGTGGTCCTTTTGTTTTTGTTTTTGAATTTTTTTTGATATTACTTTCCTCTGTTCATAAGGAAAGTAGTTCCCAAAATTCATTTAAAGATATAATACATTGGATCACTGCCAACTTTTTAAAAGCTAAATCATTATTCTCTTTCCTTTTGTAACTGATGTGTCATTTTTCATCTCATTCTGAATATGAATCGTAATTTCTTTTGCCTGTGTTTTTTCTTCACAAGCACGCCTTTCATATAATGATAGAGGTAAGATGCATTGATGTTTGTTTTATGGTTGTGGAATTTTTTGTGGATGCATATTAAACATTTTGTCCTTAAGATTTTTGTTGTTATTGTTGCTTTACTTGCATCCTTTAGTTTATATACATTTATGTTATAAGGATTTCCCCCTGCCTTTATTATAAAAATATGATTGATTTGACATAGTACTAGGTTTTGATTTTAAAGGAATGCTAAGAGTATTTATACTTATTTAAAGTAGAATATAGAAATGACTGTTTTAGCTGATTAAAAGAACATCAAGTGACTCTAATAGCCTTAAAAATTTTGTATCGTTTAATTTTTAGAGGATGTCATCAGTTTCAATGTTAGCATGTGCTCATTTTTAACAAGAGCTTTCTAGTCCAGCCCATTATCTTTTAATGTGAAATCTGTATTTTCAAATAGTTTTATCTTTGGCATTTCTAGCAAATGAACTAGCTGCAGAAATACAACTTTTGATGAATTTTTGCTGTCTGGATGTTTAAGGCTATATAACTTTATTAGAATTCACCCTTCAAATGGAGAGAATTCAGAAATAGTAAAATGATAACAGATGACTTCACAACTGTCCATCTCTATCTGTGTATTCTAATGTTGGTTATAATAATGATATTGGGAAGGAGTCCTGGGATAGAAGACTTTTTCTAATAACTGTAGTTTTAGCATGATATTTTCTGATGACATGAGTATAATCAGAGCCATTTCTAATGTATATCTTTTTAGTTTTCCAAAATAGTATGTATATTGCAAGATAACTGGATACTTAGGAAAAGTTTTTATGAAATCTTAAAACCTTTTTAGATGCTTTCCCAAAAGTAGTTTTTCAGTATAGCAGGGCAAAGCAGTATTTTGTGGATAACATCAGACAGAATGCTGCTGTCATTTCTGACATTTATATTTGCATTTGTCTTCCCAGGGTGTCATACATTTCAAAGGTTTAAGTCTTTATTTCTAGAATCAAATAAGGTTTTTTTGTGTGTGTTTGTGTGGGTAAACTACTATAATGATATTAATAAGCTGAAAATTGTTCCTAATATTCTTAGATTATTGGATAAATAAAACATATTAGAAATGCATTTAATATTTTATTTGAATAATTTCTGATTAAAAAATCAAAAAGTTTATATTGATGAGTGCTATAGATTTTATACAATTATCTTTGCTAAAAAGTTATTCAATTTTAGACCTAATCTTTTAATTGTTAAAGAATATTATTTTAAATTACATTTAAAAACACATTTCTAAAAGTTTTAATACTACAAGAATGTGCCTTTGTAGACCTTTTTCTCACTCTGAAAATAAAATAGGCCAGGTTTTTTCTCTTAATTTGAGGATTTTTACTTTTAAGTAATTTTGAAAGAAGTGTTATGGTTGTTATGATACAATATTGAATATAATTGTAATATTAAGAGGGTGACTTAAGATATCTTTCTGAAATAGTGGTAGCTTAGAAATTTGCTGAACAGAGCCTTAGAAACTTAAGGAAACTTTGAAGTTTATCTGTGCATTTGGAAAACAAATAACTATTTTTTCCCTAAACATACACATTAAAAATTATTGTATATCTTCTGAATTTAAAGTTAATGTACACAAATCATTGTTTGAACTACTGATATATTTTTGAGATGTGAATTAAATCATCTAAATCTTGTTTTACAGATTGAATCATATCTCCATGGTTGGTACCCTTTAGAACAGAGAGTATATAAATGTATATGTTATCAACAAACATTCTCAGTTTATTTATGTCACTAAAAATTTCAGTTTAGAGCTGTATTACTTTCTACCATATTACTTTCTTCAGCTTTCAGTTCTTATCTGCATACTTTAGTTTTTGGCATTTTTGCTTTGAAAAATATACCTTTCTAGCCTTTTCTGTTTAGCTTAATCATTCCTTTATGCAGTTATACAGTTATTCTTGGACCTTGAAGACTGGATGGGTTTTCTTTGCCTCTAGAAAAGTAGTTTTCAGCATTTCGCCTGTCTTCACATTTGTATAAGCAAACTACTCCTGTTGGTAGAATCTCTAATTACAGGTAGAGATAGTTGAAGAATGAGATAGGGATGGTGTAGTTTCCATAGAAACTCCAGAGAGTCTTGTGTTCCCTCCCACTGAGAATCATTCTCAAGAACCTGTCCTTCTTGTAAGATTAATAGCTGACCTCCTTGCCCTATTGCTTTGCTAACAGAAACACTCTAGCTTACTAATCCTTCATATTTTGAACCTGGAAAGAAAAAGCAACTTCTGTAGACGTTTTAAAATAAATATCTGAGTTTAAAATGAGTTACAGTAATCTATTTTACAGTGTGCTGTTTTAAAATAGGAGTTCTCAAGCCATTTTATAAAGATTGTCTAGTTTCATGTTTTTCCTATTTTATAACCTTGCAGTGTTTCTATTGTTGAGGGTCTTTCTAATGATAGATGTGAACTTTTAAACACCTGAGTGGAACCAGTAAGCTGAATGATGCCTAAGGAGCACTAGGAGTTTTTGAGGCATTAGGAGAGGAGATAAAAAGAGAGGGAGAAGAAAGGCAGAGTAAGATATATTGATCTGGGTAGCATAACATTTCCAAATGTCTGAGGAACCCAGTGCCATCATACTTTTCCCTCTTGCAACAAAAATTTTATGTCCTCCTCACAACATTTGTTATGTAGCCCTTGAAACATTTCTATTGCTTTTCTCTGGAAGCTTTCTGGAATGGCAGATAGCCAACCAATAAAATGTTTTCAGAGAAAAGTTGTCATCCTACTTTGTATAGGGAAGATTCCCTTGTTGTACTCCTATTTATATACTATGTTTGTTCTGTTTTAAAAATTAATTATAGCAGTGTTCTTTTCTTTTATTTATTATACCTTGCTATCTAATATGATGACCACTTCTTTTTTTGAATTTTGGTTTATATTTTATTTGCCAGTCGGCCTCAGAACACAAATTTATTTTGGGAATAATTATAAACAAAGTGATGAATTGTTAATATGTTAAAAAATGAGGACAAAGTATAAACAATTTGGCTATAAAATATTTCTTTTACATGCTTTTGTATTTCATACACCTAACTGCAATGTACTTAAGAATGACTGGTTATTTCTAAGATTAATGAAGAAAAAATTTTAATCAATGAAGAAAAAATTTTAAATTAAATAGCCATTAGAAAAAGTATATTTTGAGGTTTTCTTTAAGACATAGTCATAATCTGCTTTTCCTGGCACTTTTCAAATACTTATTCTCTAAGGAAATATTGTTATGAGTGATCTAAAGCTTACAGAAAATCTTAGTGGGGAAAATTAGAGAGACTGGATCAAAAATGGTGTTAGATTTTTTCTACTGCTGTACCTGAGAAGCAATACTGCTAACTGTTATTATGACAACTCTTAAATCAAGTTGCCTGCTTTGTAATCCCTACAGATTAGTGATGCTTGAGAAACTCAGTTCTAGCAAGATTGAAGTTAATGTCATCCTTACGTGTTTATCATTTATTTCTGTCAGTTGATTCTTTAGTATACTCACTTATTTCTCATTTTTAGAATTTATATGTTCCAGGGTCTGCTTATTTACACTATTATTCTTGTTTATCTACAGGACCCAGGACCACCCCCACCTTCTCCATTACTAGGTTTGAAGCCACTGCAATTATTAGAAGTGAAAGCAAGGGGAAGATTTGGTTGTGTTTGGAAAGCCCAGTTGCTTAATGAATATGTTGCCGTTAAAATATTCCCAATACAGGTATGCTATTGCAGTTATAAAGTTACATATATATATATTTTAAAAGCTGAAACCAACTAGGACATTATAACTCAGAAGCAGTCTAAACACATAGGCCTTATATTCCAAAGTGATACTGTGATACTGGGAAAAGCAGTTAGCCTTTTTATGTTTGCCTTCACATTTGAGAAATGGAATTGTTAGTACAAAACCATGTTTGTTTGGAGTGGTAGAATTATATTAAATAAACATGGGTGATCTTTTGCCAATAAAAATTCTATAAAAATGCTAAGGATTCCAATTAAAAAACCTCATTGGTTATATTTTAATATCCCTTACATTATCAAAAAAAGCAAACATAAAAGTGAAGAAGTAGCGTGTTTTGTTTTAGAATTGCTGTTTGGAGGTATGTGAACAGACTGATTTATTTTCATTCTACTTTGAGTGTTTATGTAATTATTTAAGTTTTTGTTTGGTGAATTTTCAGAGGCAGTGAATCAAGACTCCAAATAATTGGTTTACTATTGAGTTGTTTTTCTTTTAAAAATAGCTGGACTTTTCACAAAACCCTTATCAAGCTTTTACCCTTCTTTTGTTGCATCAGTGGTGTAATTTGATGATGATTCCATTTTCCCTTGCTCTTGCTTTTGTACCCTTGTGACTAATGCTATCCTTAGTACTTAAGCCCCAGGTTGGATTTGAGGATATAAGCTCTACTCCTACACCTAAGTTTTCCTTATTGCAAAGCTATCCTATAAGCAATTTGCCTTACTATAACTAGATTTTAGCCTCCTTACCTCTCCTAAAGCTTGTGTTGTAGAATCTATGAAGAAGATTATTACTTTCATTGGTTATTTTTGTTAGTAATGCAGATCCTGTAAATTACAATTTAGAACTCTTAGAGTGTACAGTCTGTAATGCCAGGATTTATTTTTTAAAAAGTCAGAGAAGGGGCTAGGGTTGTGGTTCAGCAGTACAGTGTTCACCTAGCACATGCGAGGCCCTGGGTTCGATCCTTAGCACCACATAAGAATAAATAAATAAAATAAAGGTATTTTAAAAAGTCAGTGAAAACTTATTTTAACGTGTGAGGAATCTTAACAATTACATGAACGTATTTGGATATTAAGAGCAGCATTTTATTGAATGCTCTTATGTCAGGTGTTATATATTACATATATGTATGTATATTATTAGTATGTATGTAATAGCACAACACTATGAGACAGATACTGCAATCCCTGTTTTACTTAATGAGGAAATTGATTATATATATTGCCAAAGGTCAGTGGCAGATTCAGAATTTAAGTTTAGGTAGTTTGGAGCCAGAGGTTTCCTAATCCATATGCTTTGGTGCCTGCCTTTTCAATGTCCTTTCATAGTGAAAAGAAACTAATCTATTATAAGTAAAAATGTAGTGGACATGAATCATTTGCAGGCACAAATGAGTATATGGTGACTTTAAAGCATGTTACATAATATGTTAGTCGTTGAAAACAAAAATGTTTTCTGTTTGGACAGAGTAATTCCACCTGAATTGCATCTTTCAGAGAGATTATTTTGATTACCGACAGGAGCAGCTTCACACCGTGATGAAATTACAGTGTAATACTTATAATAACTTGGAAGTAGAATGTGTTGCCATTGTAGTATGCAAAAGTGCAACATTTCTGATGAACTATTGTTCCTCTAGAAAAGGATGTTTTAAAGGATTAGGGTGGACAGGCGTTTGGTATGGAACTACCAGAACTCTGATAGTGTTAACTAATAGAACTTTCTTTCATTAAATGAAAGGTCAAAACAAAAGGTCTTTTCTACTTAAATACTTTTTTTTTTGTTTCTTTAGAACTTTTTAGGTAATTTATTAGATGTGATTTATTTAATATTTTGTTGCTGTTCTTACTATTCTTTCTTTTTAACCCTAGGATAAACAGTCATGGCAAAATGAATATGAAGTCTATAGTTTACCTGGAATGAAGCATGAAAACATATTACAGTTCATCGGTGCAGAAAAACGAGGCACCAGTGTTGATGTGGACCTTTGGCTAATAACAGCATTTCATGAGAAGGTAAAACTACCTAACACTTGAATTCAGTAAAATCAAGAGTTGGCCTACCTACCTGATGTTGACTACAAATCCCTCAGACCTATTTTTCAGTAGATAATATATTATATAGTTGATTATTATTTAATGTAAAGTGCAAATTGCTCTTAAATAAAAATCCATTTTAAAACATAACTTATTTTAACAAAAGAATGAAGTAGCTTTTTTTGTAACCTCTCTATTTGTAATACCAGTCTTTTGTCCCAGATTTTCTGTACTGTATGTAATTACCTCTCTTGCAAATACTTTAGTATAGGCAGTGCTTAGTAATTTTCATTTACTTGTTAATGACCTATTTTGATTTCATAAGCCATTTTCACTTTGAATTCTGTACCTTAAAACTCTTTAATAAATCTATAATGACAAACCCAGAATCAGAAAATTTATATAATCTTTTAGGGTAATTATCACCAAAACACCCTTGTGTTTTTTTTTTTCCTCAATTTTTCCAACTTCCAGAGATGTTTAAAAGTACCATTAATAAGGAAGTTTCATTTTTGATACTTTTATCATTGTTAAGTATGTGGCTCTTATACCTTAATTCTTCACCATAAGAATGCCCATAATCTCTAGAGGAAGTTTTATTAGTGGTTGCTTGTATATTCTGATGTATGTTATCCTAGTCCTTTGGTATAATATCTTTAAAATTGCTATAATTTCACTTTAAAATTTTTTCTAGAACTTTAGATTTTCAGTATGTATTAAGAAAAACTTGGATTAATGTGAATTGGAAGGAAATTTGGACCATGTTTTTTGTATATTTTTATGTACTCAAAGGAAAGATACATTGTCTTACACTTATAGATAAAAAATTCCCGTGTATGTATGGCTTTTGTCAAGAGCTTAAGTTTTTTTGTTTTTGTTTTTCTACCCTCCTTTCTTTAGGGCTCACTGTCAGACTTTCTTAAGGCTAATGTGGTCTCTTGGAATGAACTGTGTCATATTGCAGAAACCATGGCTAGAGGGTTGGCATATTTACATGAGGATATACCTGGCCTCAAAGATGGCCACAAACCCGCAATATCTCACAGGTAGAGCAAAATTTATTTTGTTTTTCCAGATGATTCAGAATATGTTTATGATTTAATAAGCTTTTAAATCCCTGAGTAGAATTAATTTTTCCCTTAGTTATCCAGTCATGCCCTAGGAGGCAGATGATTTTCATTTATTTTTTAAATTAGCTTTGATAATGGCCAGGAAGTATTTTGGAAAATGTATATGTTAACATCATTAGTTAAATTTAATTATCTCCGTATTTCTTAATTTAGTCTCATTTCTAAAAGCATAGTTGAGAATGAAAGTATATTTTCTTAGCTCAAAGGAAAAATAAATTTATTTTAATTCAAGTCAAGATTTAAGGTGATTTTAAATAGATTCAAGGGGATGTAAATGAAGGAAAGTCTTTTGAGTGTATCTTTTTTGTTTTTCTTTTTTAATTAAAAATATTTTTTTTTTTTATTGCAGTACTGGGGAGTGAAATCCAGGTTCCAGGGGTACTTTACCACTGAACTACATCCCCAACCCTTTTTATTTTTCATTTTGAGACAGGATCTTGCTAAGTTGCCCAGATTAGCTTTGAACTTGCAGTCCTCCTGCTTCAGCCTCCCAAGTCTTTGGTACTACCATGTCCAGCTCTTTGCTTATTTTTTGAATTACCTTATATTCTTTTTTTAGCTAAGGTCAAAGGAGACATCATTCAAACAATTGTCAGTGAGATGGTAATATCCAGACAGTTGTCATTTCTCAGAAGGCAAAATATTTTTCCTTAAAACATTGATTCAGTTTGCTATGTATTTAACTTCCTTCTTCATGGGATTCAGTTTGTTATCTTGTATTCAATTTAACAGTGGTTGTTTTAAAAGTAGGCACTGACTGATTCATTTAACAAATATTTAGTTGATTATCACCTAGAGATGTTTTTCTACAACTGGGTGAAAAAATATAAGAACCACTAACTACACTAAGCGAGTATTCTAAAATATAGGTCTATACAGTTGACAAAAGGACACAATTTAGCTATTTTTTAAAAAATTCTTTAGTTTTTAAAAATTTTAGTTTTTTTGGAGTTTGTTACTGTAAAGTTTGAAATATTCTTAACCTCTTAAATCATAGCAATTTTATCATTGATATGTGAGAATGACATAGATAAAGTGTTTTTGGAATGGCATTTCTTTATAAAACTGCTTTATGGAGAGGATTTCTTCTTCTAATCTGTGTTATGAATAGGAGTTTTGTTACTTTACTCTTGTGCTGTATGGGGACTCTGCTTAAGGTTCTTCTTTTCTCTTTTCCTTGCATGTCATATTTTAACTACTATTTTATAGCATAGATATTCTCCCTCTTTTCGATTATGAGCAAAAAATTTAAAAGATAACTTGTTGAAACTTAATTGTACTATCTTTATATTTGTAAGGGACATCAAAAGTAAAAATGTGCTGTTGAAAAACAATCTGACGGCTTGCATTGCTGACTTTGGGTTGGCATTAAAATTTGAGGCTGGCAAGTCTGCAGGTGACACCCATGGACAGGTAAGGAAGGGTGGTAATTATAACATGTAACAAAAAATAAATATGTCTCATATTTTCTTAGACTGGCATGTCAAGATTGAATTGGTATAAATTGTTGTGGAGATTAAATTAGCATCTAATCAAAAGTTATATGTTACATTTTCTGAGGAAAATGTCATTTTCATATTGTGGTGGAGGACTCAGGTGGTTTAGAGTACTACTTCATAAGATAACTCCTAGATGTTACAGGATTTTTTTTAAAAAAGTGGATCACGGAAGAACCCACTTTTTTGATGGACCACATTCTTAGGGATATCTTCTTATTAACTCAGTAGTTTTTTAATTCTTTTATTCTTTCACCGTCTTGTGGTATAGAAGAAAAATCAGCCATTATTCTTGCTTCAGTGTATTAAGATCCCCTTCCCATTTTTGTATCCAACAATTTCTTGCTTTATTTTTTGTTTCTTGCTTTTCTTTATTGTTTCACTCACTCCTTAATCTACTTTCTGTGAATTCTCTCCAGAATACAAAGCCCTTGTATAGGTCTAAGTGAGGTACCTAATTAGTTAAAGTCTATACAACAAGAACTTGGCAGTGGAAACCTTATAGAAAGGCCAAAGAGAAAAGATTGTCTGTACATTTTATTCTCAGAAGCTATGAGGCTAGGAAAGATGTTTTCACTCCTATAAGATAACCTTTTTTCAAGAAAACCAGTCTAACCTGATAGGTGACATTTCCTATGAAGCAGATGATTCATTGGCTTTGGTGTTAAATTTTGTTATACAATTATTTGGTCAGCTATTTATGAGCTTTATTTTTTTCAGCATATCCTCAAGTTTCTAAGAACATAGTTGTAAACAGTCATGGCACTCAAATTTTGCCAATGTTGACTAACAATTAAAAAATTTAGGGCAATGGTCAGCAGTCACAGAACTCTACAGAAGTTGACACCAAATCTCTTTATAAATGGAGACACTTTTGTGGCAAATACTACCAAGATGGATGTTATGTAGAAAGCCTGGGGACAAACCTCTGTACTTCTGTACTTCTTATGACTCACTGTCATAAGATGAACTTTTGGAAAGTTTCATCCTTGGTACCTCATAAGCCCCTCTGGCATTTTTTCTGAGGAAAAACTGGGGGGACTCACTGATGTCATCTTTTAATTCCTTTGCAGTTGGGTCATATGGTTAGATAAAAATAACCAATTACTTATACCAGTTGATCCTTGACTTTAGATTTTATGTACCAGAAAATTGAAACACTATTTGAAGGTACTTGCATGTTATTGTAAATTTTATATATTACAAAGAAAGAACCCTGGGGAAAAATACAAATTTTCATCTATTATCAATTTATAAAAGAGAATATTTTAGGCTAAAAATTTAGATAAGCCACGATCTTATAACAAAAGAGAACTTCAGATGGCATACATTTATCTTTAAGAGAAAAAAGGAGGACAGAATGGGAGAAAATCTTTGCCAGCAACTTTTTAAAAAGAGGATTAATATCCAGAATACATAAAGAACTCAAAATACTTCTCCTCCCTCAAAAAACCCCTACAACCCAATCAATAAATGAGCAAATGAACTAAATATTCACTTCTCAAAATAAGAAATACAAATGGCCAAGAAATATGTGAATAAAGATTCAATGTCTTTAGCAGTGGGAGAAATGTAAATAAAAACTATATTGAGATTTCATCTCCCTGCAGTTAGAATAGCAGTCGTCAAGAATACAGATATTAATAAATGCTGGCAAGGATGTGGAGGTATGAGGAGCCCTTATACACTGTTGGTAGGATTAGTGCAGCCACTATGGAAATCTCTATGGAGGTTTCTCAAAAACTAGAAATGGAACCACCATATGACCTAACAATACCACTTCTCAAGTATTTGTCTAAGAGAATTAAATACTATAGTTATCTATGCATACTTATGTTTATAGCAGTACAATTCTCAATAGCCAAATTATAGAACCAGCCTATGTACCCGTCAGCAGATGAACATATAAAGAACATGTGGCATACACACACACATACACATACAATAGAGTTTTAGTTAGCTATAAAGAATGGAATTACGTCATTTTCAGGAAAATGGATAGAACTTGAGAACATAATGTTAAGCAAAATAAGCCAAACTCAGAAATGTGTTGTTTTTTTTCTCATATGTGGAAGCTAGAGAGGAAAAAAAAAAAAGAAAGTTGGGGAGGATCTCATGAAAATAGAAAGGAGACTACAGGATAGAGAAAGGGGAGCAGGGGAGGGAGGAGGAGAGGGAAAGGGGAGGTACTGGGGAATGAAATTTATTATGTGTGCATATGTATGAAGATGTAATAGTGAATCCCACTGATATATATAGTTATACTGCACCAATAATTTTTTTTTTTAAAGTAGGCTTTTGGGAGGTGTTAATTTGTAGTATAGTTATTCAGAAGAGGAAAAAAATTAAAAGCTACCTTTTCTTTCTTTAAAGTGTTCTCCTTATTAAATAAATTGAATATTCAAAACTTCAGAGTTTAGTGATCTGTCCTTATTTATTTATTTATTTTTAACATCTGTGCTGTGTGTGTTTTTTGTGTGTGTTATTGCATGTAACTCCCCAACTTCTAGTGTGGAATAGGAGTCACAGTCACCTAAGGATGGAGCTTTTTGAAAATAGCAATAGCTCAGCTGCTCAGTACTCAAGTATATTGTGGTCTACCTTATATGTCACAAAACTTTTTAAAATATCACATAAGAATGTTGTCAAGCACCAAATAGAGCTAGCTGTACTAGCTTAGTAACCATAGTGATAGCACTAAGAAATACCAAGTTGTTGGGCACATGCTTGGTTAACTATTTTTAAAACATTTTATAATATCTGTCATTGAAGCCCTCAAAAAAAAAGGGTTTCTTAAAGATACTTTTCAAATAATTTGCAAAGGTACAGTTGAAAACTATGCAGCTTTCTCTGTTCCATCCTTCTCCCATTGTTGTTCATTGTTCAATACCTTGTGATTACTTCTAGAAAGGGAAAAATTCTAAATCTTTACCAGAATAACATCTGTTGATGTATTTTTTTTTAGGTATACTCACACATGATCTTACTATGTATATATGCTATAATTTGGTGTTCATAATTTAGTTGCTTTACCCTGATAATAGACCATATGTGGTTTTGATTCTTAAAAAAATGTAAAATGTTAGTTCATAAAGTTAATGAATGAGTACTGTTTGTTTTCAAAATATTTTTCAGGTTGGTACCCGAAGGTATATGGCTCCAGAGGTATTAGAAGGTGCTATAAACTTCCAAAGGGATGCATTTTTGAGGATAGATATGTACGCCATGGGATTAGTCCTGTGGGAACTGGCTTCTCGCTGTACTGCTGCAGATGGTAAGGGAAAAAGTATTTTGTTTTAAAAAGTACATATGCCACATTTTTGAAGTGGATGGTTACATTCAAAGGTAATAAAGTACATTTCTGTTTTAATAACCAAGAGATGGTAGAGAATTCAGGAGGCAGGGAAGCAGAAAGGATGGGACAGGGAGAAGGGAACTAGTCAGTGTTTGCTTCTTTACTGTTGCTAGATGTTTTGTTGGATACTTCATATACTTTTAGCTTATTTCCTAAAACAACTTTGGAGGTAGTTATTATCACAATTTTTCAGGTGAGGAAATTGTTTCAAGGTAATTGATGAAACATATTTGTGATTCTGATCCAGTTGTAAAGAAAGAGCTGCTACTTCAGCTAGGTCATGTAGGTCCTGCTTGTCTGGTTCTCAAGTCAACTATTTTGGTAAGAGGATATGTATATAAAGTGGGAGGGGCCTTCTGACTGCCTTTCAAGACTCTGAGGCTGAGTCTGTTTAGCACTCAGGAAATGCCAGCATATCGTTAACCATATTAAATTTTAGTTTTATCCTCTAAGACAGAACTGTGATCATGCTTTCACATGTACCACAGATAAAATTCTGCCGCCTAAAACTTTGAAGGTTTGACCTGACATAGACATTAGTCATATTCTCTACCACAGCAGGGTGGCTCTAAAGGGTTTCTTATTCTTTGTTCTTGTTATTGAAAAGTTTTTCTTTAAATCTTATAAGCATTGGGTATTTATTCATTGGTTATAAATCTGCATACCATATTTTTAATGTAAAAACTTTATAAAGTTCTACATATTTGATCTTTAGTGCTCCTTCATAAGGTCTGTACTCTGTCTCAAATATGTGGTAGTACTTTTTTTGGGTAAGACAAACTTCCTGTTAAACTTCTAAACAAATTTAAATGAGCTTGATCTTTTTTTCTTTTAATTACCTAAAAACTTCTTCCAGGTGTCAAAAACCATAGAAAAAATATGTTGAATATTTCAAAAGGTATAACCAATTAAGAATATTTTACTTTCTAAATATTATTAAAGGCTCTTGGTATACAACAAACTTCCTCTGAAATGTGAAATTTGATTTAGGGGACTACACTTTTAAAAGGAACTGAAAAGTTCCCTTTAAACCAGCTAGCTCTGGTTGGTGCTTGACAACATTCTTATGTGATATTTTGAAAAGTTTTGTGACATATAGGGGTAGACCACAAGATACTTTGAGCTTTAGTAGATCAACTGAGCTGTTTAGAAATCTGTTCAGAAATGGACAGATCTATTTCTTTAGGATTGGGGTGGGTCCAGAACCTAAGAAAGGTTGAAGCAACTTGAGAATAACTTTTAGCTTTTAAGTGTATAAGAAAACACATAAGCTGTTTGTTTTGACTCAAAAGTAGAAGTAGTATTACAATTATTACATGCATTTATGGAAATGGAAGTAGGTCAAGGAAAGATGTCATAGGAAAATACATTTTATAAGAACTTTAATATGAATTTTTCATAGTAAACCATTGGATTGGGTGTCATGGGGGACATAAAGCCCAGTCTTCAAGTAATATACAGTTAAGATGATAAAAAACATTCTGGACAATTAACTCTAAAGTAAGTGAATTATCTAGCCCAGTGCCTGGTACTAGACATTCAGTAAATGTTTTGAGATGAATGTAACTACCATAACACAAGGCAGTGTTATGGTAGTTCATAGGAGAAATTGGTGGTGAAGAAGAGTCATCAGGGAGTATTTTATGGAAAAAGAAAAGGATAAATGCCTTCTATTCTTAACTGCTTCATATGTGCAAGGACACAATTAGAATCAGGTACTTCTGACTCTTAATAAGTCAGAAATTGGGGCCAAAGGGACAGTGTGGGTGCTTTTAAATTTGTTGGTGACTAGTTGTTGATGGTTAAATTTGGTGATTTTTTTCCACATATAAATATGCATACCAGACTACTGGAAATCTTGTTAAAATTGAGATTCTGACTCAGTGGTCTGGGTTGAGGCCAGAGCATCCACATTTCTGAAAAGGCATCACCTAAGGCCAGTGGTGCTGACCTGTAGATGCAAGGTTGAACAGACATACCTTAGAATATCAGTACTGTCACTGGAGGTGTTCAAGCAGAGACCAACTGTCCAGGCATCAAAGATTCTTGTTTAGTACCAGCGGCGACAGAAACAGTTGGTCTCCTGGTAGGGGGGGTGAGGCACAGACACCCGAGTCTCCTCAATTTGTCGTCGAGCCAGAGGGGAGGAGCCGGGCCGCCGCCAGCGCCCGGAGCAGGCCCAGCGGATCGCCAGCGTGGTGACCGTGTGACCCCAATTGGAGAGGGGGCGGAGCGGAGCCGCCACCCGCACCCGCAAGGTGGGCAGACCCGCGACCCAGTGGTACATGGGCTTGGTAGGAGGGGCAGGGCAGAGCCGCCGTTTGCGCTTGCAAGGTAAACAGACCTGTGACAGCCTGGCGGGTCAGGCCCAGTGGCCTGCCAGTGTGGTACACACGTCACCCCAACTGGAGTAGGGGCAGAGCAGATCCTTCTCCCACGCCCGGATCAGGCCCTGCCGGTGTGGTGGCCACGTGACCCCAATTGGAGTGGGGGCAGAGTGGAACCGCCACCCGTGCCCGCAGGGTGAGCAGACCTGTGACGAACCTGCAGATCAGGCCCAGGGGTCCGCAGGCGTGGTAGGAGGGGCAGGGCAGAGTCGCCGCCCGTGCCAGGAACAGGCCCAGCGTCCTGCAGGCGGGGTAGTCACGACACCCCAATTGGAGTAGGGGCAGAGCAGAGCCTCCACCCGTGCCCGAAAGGTGGGCAGATCTGCGACCGACCAGCGGGACAGGCCCAGTGGCCTGCCGGTACGACAGACACGTCACCACATTTGGAGTAGGGGCAGAGTAGAGCCGCCGCCTGCGCCTGCAGGGTAGGCAAACCTGCAACCGACCGGCAGATCAGGCCCGGTGGCCTGCCGGCGTGGTGCACTCGTCACCCCAATTGGAGTAGGGGCAGAACAGAGCCGCCGCCAGCGCCCAGAACAGGCCCAGTGACCTGCCGGCATGGTAGCTATGACACCCCAATTGGAATAAGGAGAGAGCAGAGCTGCCGCCCGCGCCTGCAGGAAAGATACGCAAGCAGTATGAAAAGACAAGGAAAGAAAGGACCACAAGCAATGCAGGTCAACGCAACGTTAGAAGAGGTAACAGCTGCAGCAGATGGAATGTCAGATAAAGAATTCAGGATATACATGCTTCAGATGATCTGGAGTATCAAGGAAGACATTAAACAGCAAAATCAGACAATGAAAGATCACTTCGACAATGAATTATGCAAACAAATCCAGGAAGCAAAGGATCAACTATACCGGGAGATAGAGGTTATAAAAAACAAACAAACAGAAATCCTAGAAATGCAGGAAGCAATAAACCAACTTAAAAACTCAATGGAGAATACTACCAGCAGAGTAGAACACTTAGAAGATAGAACATCAGACAATGAAGACAAAGTATTTCAACTGGAAAAGAACATAGACAGCTCAGCAAGACTGTTAAGAAACCATGAGCAGAACATCCCAGAAATATGGGATAACATTAAGAGACCAAACTTAAGAGTCATTGGGATACAGGAAGGTACAGAGCTCCAAATCAAAGGAATGAGCGGTCTATTCAATGAAATAATTCGAGAAAACTTCCCAGACTTGAAGAATGAGACAGAATCCCAAATCCTAGAAGCCTACAGGATGCCGAATGTGCAAAATCATAAGAGATCCACACCTAGACACATTATAATGAAGATGTCCAACATACAGAATAAGGAGAGAATTTTTAAAGCTACAAGAGAAAGGAAGCAGATTACATTTAGGGATAAGCCAATCAGGATAACAGCTGATCTTTCAACACAGACTCTGAAAGCTAGAAGATCCTGGAATAACATATTTCAAACACTGAAAGAAAATGGGTTCCAAACAAGAATTGTGTATCCAGCGAAATTAAGCTTCAGGATGGAAGATGAAATTAAAACCTTCCACGATAAACAAAAGTTTAAAGAATTCGCAGCTAGAAAACCATCTCTTCAAAACATCCTCGCCAAAGCATTACAGGAAGAGGAAATGGAAAATAACAATGAAAACCAACAGTGGGAGGTAGGACAGTAAAGGGGGGGGGAAATAATCAAAGAGGAAAACAAACCATGTTTAGTAACAGAAATAAACAAATATGGCTGGAAGAACAACCCATATCTCAATAATAACCCTAAATGTTAATGGCTTAAACTCACCAATTAAGAGACACAGGCTAGTAGAATGGATCACAAAACAAGACCCAACAATATGCTGCCTACAGGAGACACATTTGATAGGAAAAGACATACATAGGCTGAAGGTGAAAGGTTGGGAAAAATCATATCACTCATATGGACTTCGGAAACAAGCAGGAGTGTCCATACTCATATCAAATAAAATAGATTTCAAGCCAAAGTTAATCAAAAGGGATAAAGAGGGACACTACATACTGCTTAAGGGAACCATACACCAACAAGACATAACAATCATAAATATATATGCCCCAAACAATGGTGCAGCTATGTTCGTCAAACAAACTCTTCTCAAGTTCAAGAGTCTAATAGACCACCATACCATAATCATGGGAGACTTCAACACACCTCTCTCGCCACTGGACAGATCTTCCAAACAAAAGTTGAATAAGGAAACTATAGAACTCAATAACACTATTAATAACCTAGACCTAATTGACATATATAGAGTATACCACCCAACATCAAGCAGTTACACTTTTTTCTCAGCAGCACATGGATCCTTCTCAAAAATAGATCATATATTATGTCACAGGGCAACTCTTAGACAATATAAAGGAGTAGAGATAATACCATGCATCTTATCTGATCATAATGGAATGAAACTGAAAATCAACGATAAAAGAAGGAAGGAAAAAGCATACATCACTTGGAGAATGAACAATAGGTTACTGAATGATCAATGGGTTATAGAAGACATCAAGGAGGAAATTAAAAAATTCTTAGAGATAAATGAAAACATAGACACAACATATCGGAATCTATGGGACACATTGAAAGCAGTTCTAAGAGGAAAATTCATTGCTTGGAGTTCATTCCTTAAAAAAAGAAAAAAAAACAACAAATAAATGATCTCATACTTCATCTCAAAATCCTTGAAAAAGAAGAGCAAAACAACAGCAAAAGAAGTAGAAGGCAAGAAATAATTAAAATCAGAGCTGAAATTAATGAAATCGAAACAAAAGAAACAATTGAAAAAATTGACAAAACTAAAAGTTGGTTCTTTGAAAAAATAAACAAAATCTACAGACCCTTAGCCATGCTAGCGAAGAGAAGAAGAGAGAGAACTCAAATTACTAGCATACGGGATGAAAAAGGCAATATCACAACAGACACTTCAGAAATACAGAAGATAATCAAAAACTATTTTGAATCCTTATACTCCAATAAATTAGAAGATAGTGAAGGCATAGATAAATTTCTTAAGTCATATGATCTGCCCAGATCGAGTCAGGAGGATATAGACAACCTAAACAGACCAATATCAATTGAGGAAATAGAAGAAACCATCAAAAGACTACCAACTAAGAAAAGCCCAGGACCGGATGGGTATACAGCAGAATTTTACAAAACCTTTAAAGAAGAACTAATACCAATACTTTTCAAGCTACTTCAGGAAATAGAAAAGGAGGGAGAACTTCCAAATTCATTCTATGAGGCCAACATCACCCTGATACCTAAACCAGACAAAGACACTTCAAAGAAAGAAAACTACAGACCAATATCTCTAATGAACCTAGATGCAAAAATCCTCAATAAAATTCTGCTGAATCGGATACAAAAACATATCAAAAAAATTGTACACCATGATCAAGTAGCATTCATCCCTGGGATGCAAGGCTGGTTCAATATACGGAAATCAATAAATGTTATTCACCACATCAATAGACTTAAAAATAAGAACCATATGATCATCTCGATAGATGCGGAAAAAGCATTCGACAAAGTACAGCATCCCTTTATGTTCAAAACTCTAGAAAAACTAGGGATAACAGGAACATACCTCAATATTGTAAAAGCAATCTATGCTAAGCCTCAGGCTAGCATCATTCTGAATGGAGAAAAACTGAAGGCATTCCCTCTAAAATCTGGAACAAGACAGGGATGCCCTCTCTCTCCACTTCTCTTCAACATAGTTCTTGAAACACTGGCCAGAGCAATTAGACAGACGAAAGAAATTAAAGGCATCAAAATAGGAAAAGAAGAACTTAAATTATCACTATTTGCAGATGATATGATTCTATACCTAGCAGACCCAAAAGGCTCTACAAAGAAACTATTAGAGCTAATAAATGAATTCAGCAAAGTGGCAGGATATAAAATCAACACGCATAAATCAAAGGCATTCCTGTATATCAGCGACAAATCCTCTGAAATGGAAATGAGGACAACCACTCCATTCACAATATCTTCAAAAAAAATAAAATACTTGGGAATCAACCTAACAAAAGAGGTGAAAGACTTATACAATGAAAACTACAGAACCCTAAAGAGAGAAATAGAAGAAGATCTTAGAAGATGGAAAAATATACCCTGTTCATGGATAGGCAGAACTAACATCATCAAAATGGCGATATTACCAAAAATTCTCTATAGGTTTAATGCAATGCCAATCAAAATCCCAATGGCATTTCTTGTAGAAATAGAGAAAGCAATCATGAAATTCATATGGAAAAATAAAAGACCCAGAATAGCAAAAACAATGCTAAGCAGGAAGTGTGAATCAGGCGGTATAGCGATACCAGACTTCAAACTATACTACAGAGCAATAGTAACAAAAACAGCATGGTACTGGTACCAAAACAGGCGGGTGGACCAATGGTACAGAATAGAGGACACAGAAACCAATCCACAAAACTACAACTATCTTATATTTGATAAAGGGGCTAAAAGCATGCAATGGAGGAAGGATAGCATCTTCAACAAATGGTGCTGGGAAAACTGGAAATCCATATGCAACAAAATGAAACTGAATCCCTTTCTCTCGCCATGCACAAAAGTGAATTCAAAATGGATCAAGGAGCTTGATATCAAATCAGAGACACGCCGTCTGATAGAAGAAAAAGTTGGCTACGATCTACAGTCGGTGGGGTCGGGCTCCAAATTCCTCAATAGGACACCCATAGCACAAAAGTTAATAACTAGAATCAACAAATGGGACTTACTCAAACTAAAAAGTTTTTTCTCAGCAAAAGAAACAATAAGAGAGGTAAATAGGGAGCCTACACCCTGGGAACAAATCTTGACTCCTCACACTTCAGATAGAGCCCTAATATCCAGAGTATACAAAGAACTCCAAAAATTAGACAATAAGAGAACAAACAACCCAATCAACAAATGGGCCAAGGACCTGAACAGACACTTCTCAGAGGAGGACATACAGTCAATCAACAAGTACATGAAAAAATGCGCAACATCTCTAGCTGTCAGAGAAATGCAAATCAAAACCACCCTAAGATACCATCTCACTCCAGTAAGATTGGCAGCCATTAGGAAGTCAAACAACAACAAGTGCTGGCGAGGATGTGGGGAAAAGGGTACACTTGTACATTGCTGGTGGGACTGCAGATTGGTGCAGCCAATTTGGAAAGCAGTATGGAGATTTCTTGGAAAGCTGGGAATGGAGCCACCATTTGACCCAGCTATTCCCCTTCTTGGTCTATTCCCTAAAGACCTAAAAAGAGCATGCTACAGGGACACTGCTACATCGATGTTCATAGCAGCACAGTTCACAATAGCAAGACTGTGGAACCAACCTAGATGCCCTTCAATAGACGAATGGATAAAAAAATTGTGGCATTTATACACAATGGAGTATTACTCTGCATTAAAAAATGACAAAATCATAGAATTTACAGGGAAATGGATGGCATTAGAGCAGATTATGCTAAGTGAAGCTAGCCAATCCCTAAAAAACAAATGCCAGATGTCTTCTTTGATATAAGGAGAGTAACTAAGATCAGAGTAGGGACGAAGAGCAGGAGAAGATGATTAACATTTAACAGGGATGAGAGGTGGGAGGGAAAGGGATAGAAGGGAAATTGCATGGTAATGGAAGGAGACCCTCAGGGTTATACAGTGGAGGGGGTAGAGAGAGAGGAGGGAAGGGGAGGGGAGAGGTGGGGAGGGGGGAGGGTGGAGGATGGGAAAGGCAGCGGAGCACAACAGACACTAGTATGGCAATATGTAAATCAATGGATGTGTAACTGATGTGATTCTGCAATCTGTGTATGGGGTGAAGGTGGGAGTTCATAACCCACTTGAATCAAAGTGTGGAATATGATATGTCAAGAAATTTGTAATGTTTTGAACAACCCACAATAAAAAATAAAAAAAAAAAAAGATTCTTGTTTGCGGAGACCTAATGACTTCTTGGTGATTCATTATATCTGCCCAGCAGTAATTGTGCTTTTTAGACTGCACAAGACTTGTATCTGTCTGGCAAATGAAATAGCTCAGTATTGATTATCAAGAGGAGCTAATGTAGTGATAAAAAAGCAGACTTAGATGAATTCAAATTCCATGGGATAGCTGTGTGCCTTTGTGCAAATTTACATAAAAATTTCTGAACTTCCTATCTGCAAAATACAGATAGTGCTCCTTCACCTTGTGAAGGCAAAATGGTGATAAATTATGTATGTAATACAAGTTTCTGGTCAGGATAGCTGCTCATTGAATCTTAGTTATTATTAACTCTTATATTAGTTATTATTAACTCTTATATGAGTAGGTAAAAGAAAGAATTATTGTTGAATACATTTTATCTGTGAAGGTACATTGACTTGTTGGGAACCCTGGTTGGAGATAGTTGTGACTTAAAAAATTAAACATAAAATGAATATTAAAATATTAAAGTTATTAAAAAATATTAAAGTTACTGTGAGGAAAGGTAGAGAAGAGGTGTGACTTTGACGTGTTTTAGTTCCTCATAGGGGACATGTAGTGGGGGTTGAGTATGCCACAGAATAAAGGTGGTTATAACACATTTAACCGAAAATCTTCAGAGGTGGAAACATCACTGCTAACCTTTCACTCTGAATTGCAAGAAGGAGTGGGTCTCTTAAAGAAGAGTGTAAGTGTAGTTGCTCTCTTGCTCTTACTGTCATTACAGCAGGTTGAATTTGGAAAAGGTGATTCAGAATATATTTTAGAAAGTTTATACCAGTTTGGAAGTCAGGAAGATTTTAATTAAAATGACCACCCCTGTTTTTTGGTCTTACATTTCAGGACCTGTAGATGAGTACATGTTGCCATTTGAGGAGGAAATTGGCCAGCATCCATCTCTTGAAGATATGCAGGAAGTTGTTGTACATAAAAAAAAGAGGCCTGTTTTAAGAGATTATTGGCAAAAACATGCTGTAAGTTACTCAGCTTTTCATTTGAAATTTGAATAAAACATTTTTCAGAGGCATGATTTATTCTCTGCACATTTCTTGGAGGACTTTCTGGGAAGGTGATCTTCACACAGGATATTCCATACTACAGTGCAAAAGGCACTTTATCAGGGCTTTGTGTACTAACCAGGGAGATGGTAAAGTCATAGAACCTTACAAGGCTCATCTCTATAATTTTGTGCATGTATCTTCTATTTGGAAACCTTCTTTAAAAAAAGAATGACTGATTCTGGGCCTGTGGACAGCTAAGTAACTTTGTTGATCACTACCTTTCATATGATGCCATTTTTAAATGTATTGAACAACATCAATCCATCAAATCACTATGGGAGTTTTTTCAAAAGCCTTTTGATTTAGGCTTAGATTTTGAAGTTCATAAGAATGCTTTAAAATTATAGATTAGGAGGCTGGGATTATAGCTCAGTGGTAGAGTGCTTGCCTTGCATGCATGAGGCACTGGGTTCGATCCTCAGCACATATAAAAATAAGTAAATAAAATAAAAATATTTTGAAAAAGAAATAAACTCATCTGTCATTAAAAAAATTATAGATTAGGCAGAGGATGGTACAGTATATTATTGCTTTGATTATTTTGGTCCAAGTATAATTAAAAATGTGGATAAAGCCAGGTAGAGATCCTGAAGGATCACCTTCTAATTTTGTATTAAATTTCAAGATGGAAATGCTGATATTAGCTAAGAAAAAGATGAAAAATAGTATAACCTCCATTACCCTTGCTTTTGAGTGTAGTTCAAGGTTGCATTGAAATGATCCTGTTTATGAAAAATGGATAGGAATTTTTGGAATTAAAAAATATTCCTGTTGTAGTAGTGTCCAGTACTTAAATATTTTCTTCTTTGTGCTTCTCTTTCATGGACTTGCATATCATCAGTAAAAAAAAGAATGTTAAATAATATGATACTTTGGTAATCTTGAAACTTCCTTGGCCTACAAAAAACAGTTTATGAAAATTTTACTGTAATTTCTAATAGAAACAATTGTTGTGGTGTTTGACCATGTTTTTCTCCTCTTAGGGAATGGCGATGCTCTGTGAAACGATAGAAGAATGTTGGGATCATGATGCAGAAGCCAGGTTATCAGCAGGATGTGTAGGTGAAAGAATTACCCAGATGCAGAGACTCACAAATATCATTACTACAGAGGACATTGTAACAGTGGTCACGATGGTGACAAATGTTGACTTTCCTCCCAAAGAATCTAGTCTATGATGGTTGCATCATCTGTACACACTGAGCAGTGGGACTCTGAACTGGAGCTGCTAAGCTAACAAACTGCTTACAGTTTTATTTTCTGTGTGAAATGAGTAGGATGCCTCCTGGAAATATAAGAAAGCAGCCCCTTGTTGAAAAATGTGGCTCTGGGAGACTACTGCATTGCCTGCAGCACAGACGTGAAGGACATGAGGCTAAGAGAAAAATTGCAAACTTTATAAAGAAACTTTTGAGAAAATGTACATGAAGAATGTGGCCCTCTCCAAATCAAGGATCTTTTGGATCTGGCTAATCAAGTGTTGAAAACTGACATCAGATTTCTTAATGTCTGTCAGAAGACACTAATTCCTAAATGAACTACTGCTATTTTTTTTAAATCAAAAACTTTTCATTTCAGATTTTAAAAAGGGTAACTTGTTTTTATTGCATTTGCTGTTGTTTCTATAAATGACTATTGTAATGCCAATATGACACAGCTTGTGAATGTTTAGTGTGCTGCTGTTCTGTGTACATAAACAAAGTCATCAAAGTGGGGTACAGTAAAGAGGCTTCCAAGCATTACTTTAACCTCCCTCTCAACAAGGTATACCTCAGTTCCACGGTTGCTAAATTATAAAATTGAAAACACTAACAAATTTGAATAATAAATGGATCCATGTTTTGTAACAAGGTATCACAAATTCACTGTGTTATTTAAGAAAAAAAAAAAAGTAAGCTGTGCTTAGTGCCAATAGTAAGTGGCCATTCGTAAAACAGTGTTTTAGCTTTTCTTGTGCTGGCTTGTAACTTAGGGAAAAGTGTTTTTTGAAATGAAAAAAATGGTGTCATTTCCCCCTTACCGTATTTTAAAGCTTCATCTTATATCCATATCCCAAAATATTGCATTCGTACCTAAGTATTTTTTTTTTTTTTAAAGGTGTGCTGTGTTTGGGGAATGAGTATTTGAAAAATTTAAAGCATGATTTAAATTTTTTTAAATGAGCTATGACACTGGAAAGCTCTTTTTTATCTTTTAAAAGTCTTTTGTTTTTTCCTATTTATATATGTAAAACTGTAGTGTTTTTCTTTTCACCAAAACAGTGTGTGGGATATTCTTTATCACTGTCTTAGGACCACCTCAGGAAGTGTCATTACCCAGAATTCCTCACTCTCTGCTTTGAGACTTGTAACTTTTATCACTTCTGCTTGGTGCCATCTTGTCAGAGTAATATTTGACGTCTGTGATATGTAAAGAATTATCTTAGGACAGAGATATTAATTAACTTTAAGCACAGATTTCAGATGTTACTGCTTTAAAACCAATCAGGGATAACAAAGTTATAACTTAAAAAATATGCAATGACATTTAGAGGTAACCAGTGTTGATGTAGGTAACATAGCTTAGCCTTCTCTCCCAAATTGCTTTTACAACTAACTTGGATATTAATTTAGGATAGTTCATGCCTTATCCTTGCTAAGAAAATGGAATTGATGGTAGGTAGGTGCCAAAGTTCTTTTTCAAACAATACTGCATTGGAGTATAATTGGATGCTTCTTGAAACTTACTTATATAGGCCAAAGTAAAACATTAATTTCCTGAATTTCTAGATTACTAGCCAAGAAATAGCCAGGATTATGCTATACTTTTTGTCAGATCATTTTGAAATCCATACATAAACTTTAAAAACAGATTTTTTACATGTCACTATCAGGAGCTTACTGTGAATACATTATCTTCAAATGGTTATTTAACCACACAGTACACTACATTTTACATGTAAAATGCACTTAATCTCTGGGAAGAATAAATTATTATTTATACACAAAACATAGGCCAACAGACTCTAAACAGGGAGGAAAAGGAGAGTAATAGCATTCTTGTCTGTGTGTCACATCCCATACAGATCTGTTTATGTTTTTATATCGTGTGTGTACCCAAGGTTTCACTGTATTCCTAAGAATTCCCATTTCAGTGTTTACCATTTCAAAAAGTACTTGGCCCCTCTCAACTTCTTGACTTGGGTTTTCTTCCATCTGGAAACTAAACAAGGGGAAAATATGGAAAATGTGCAATCAAGAAAAGAGTTAATTTAAAGACAGATTTCTACCTGTTGTAAGCATTTAACCCTTTTAAAACTTTAAAAAAAGGGATAATATGAATGTTTGGCTTATGAGAATACTAGAGATAAATTTTATAAGACCAGTTATTCACAATATAAAACATTTTGTCTTCATGTTACATTTTTTTTTAAACAAATTCTGGGTATTGTACTTAAGTTTAACCAATTTTAAAACTTGTATCCTTCTGAAAATATATATTTAGAAAATCTTTTTATAAGCAGTAAAGAAAGAATGTTCCAGTGACTGCTTGTCCTGATACGTAATCTTACTAAAACTTTCTTTTTGCAGGGCATTGGTTTATAATCAGTGTAGAGGGGGCAAGTTAAAATTTAAGCTAGGGATACTGGAAAAAAGATCAAAGGATGAAAAAAATGGTGATTTATTTGGAAGTAAACTAAGACCCCCCCCCCACACTCCAATAACTTTTCCTCGTGTGTATGGTGCTCCTCATGATGTCTTGTTCTTTGCCTTTCTGATACCTATCAGAAGTGCTGCTCTCACTCACTTTTCACCTTACCCAGATTTCCCTTGTAAAAAATCCTTTATGATTAACTGCCATAGGACTGATGGATTAACCAGTGTTTGGCTTTATTTGAAGTCTATGCCCTGCAGAGATCTTGTATGTATTTTAGATGCTAGGAAGTTTTTAGCATGTGATGTGTGATTCTTGTTTGGATGTTTTTATTACAGGTACCTTGTGAATTCCAGAAAAGAGACTGTGCCTCACAAGTGTTGGTCCCATGACCTTGCACTATCTTTCATGGTGACCTTTTGAAAATACAATCAGGAAAAACACCAACACCTTTGGAATTTAGGAATAGAATCATAATCATGAAATTAAAGACTCTCTCTTTTGCCCCTTTCCTTGCCCCTGACCAACAACTACATTTAAGTAAAATGTAGATGGTTGGGAAAAACTGGTCAGATGGTAGTTTAGTGGAATAAACTGATTACTGTTTTTTAAAAAATGCTTCATCATAGATATTTTCCAGTTTGTCTTTTTTACTTTTTGAAAAATTACTTTTTAGGAACATTTGGTATAATGTGCATAAAATAATTTAAAATTTTTGGGCAAAATGATACAAGTAGCATCTTGATTGAACATCATTTACCTCAGATATTCAACCAGCAGTACGTTTTTTATGCAGTCTCAACCCACATCCCTATTTGTTACCTCTCAAAATATTGGTGAGCAATTATTTTAGCTTTACTCTGTATTTCTTGTCAGTGTTTTGGGCACATACTTGCTATTTTTTTCTGCAAGTATTTATTTAACAGAAAGTTAAAAACAACACACACGCAAACCCTCCTCCCCCAGTAAAACCCCATCTTGGTTAAGTGATTGTTAAATATTGTAAAAATAAAATGTATGCTATCCCCATTCAATCCCCAAGTTAAATAAAAAAGTGAATATGGTATGATTTGCATATGCAGTTTTTCTTTAGCTATGTTCTTAAAGAGGGGAATGGTAGCTTTGTAATTTATTGTGAGGCTTCCGCCTTAAGAACTGCAAGAATGGGGATAGTTGTGAAAGGAGGTTTGTAGCATTCTCCTCCTTTATCTAAACAGACTGTATTTGCACCCAAGTATATATGGTGGACCTGCCAGCATTAGGCAGCCAGAGGCCTGTTGGCATTGTATAACTGTTCATTCCAACAGATTCAGTTTTTTTTAGGATAAAAAGGAAGGAAAGGGCAGCACTTAGGTAATGGTGGTTTGACAGAAACTGCAGTGCCTTCTAAACCAAATGAAAATGCAAACCATGGTGGGATGTGCGTGAATTCTCTTAAAAGACTGAACTTTCCAAAGCATGCTCTTCCAAAAAACGGAATCTTCAGGAACCCGATATTATTCTTTTGACACAAATGGCATTACAATAAAAATTTAGATAACATGGGTTTTAATTTCTTACTAACCCAGGTTGAATCAGGTCTTTGAACAAGGTTTTTTGGTGGGCCACTTGGGAAGGAATATAATAAGTTAATATTGCTCTGAAATAAAACTCTTCATTTGCTTTTCAATCTGATGATTGAGGGAAGTTTTGAGTTTTGTTTTTGCTATAATTCCTCCTAAGAAATAATATAGGCATCTTTAAGCTATGCTTCTAAGTTTTACATTGTTTTTTAAAAGTTGTTTTTTTTTTTTTCCTAGAGCTTTTCAGATTTGGTTTTTGTTTCACTTATGTAGTTAACCAGTTTATGAAATCAAGTTTCCCCACAAAAATGCCTTTGAGATGTAGCCATATCACTTGTATAATATTTCTGCTAGTCCCCCTGCCATTTGCTTTTAACTGTCATATTTTACTACAATCACTTATTGCCTCTTAGTTTTTAACTCTATGTACCTTGTTGTTGATGGATCTTCTATAGTTTTTACACAGCCAGGAAAGCACATGAGGTCTCTCAGCTTTCAAGTGGCATGAAAACCTAATAAAAATTAGGAATGCTCACATCATTTCATTAGGCTCACTCTTTAAGGTGGACAATACTTTCTTCACATAGTTCAGAAAAATTTTCAAAGGGAAAAATAAAGCTTAAAATTCTTCCCTCTAGTAATAATAGTAATGCTACTGTTTTAAGTATTTTGGCAAATGAGCTAGAAATTCATGTACGATGGCACAGAACCAGTATGCATGCCTTAGTCTTAATGAGACATTGCTGAAAAGTAAATGAGAAATCTGAAGATTTAAAGGGCTTAATTTTTTGGAGGGAAGGAAAGTGTATGCAAAAGAATAGGTTGTAACTATTGGAAGTGCTAACTTTTATCCACAAAAATTATATACTCCACTCTTGAGACTTCCTAAAACCCAGGGGAATTGTTCATTAGAGCATACTTTTAACAACTGGTTAAGGAACCCACTGTAACATGGGCTCTGGTGTCAAATCAACCTGAGTTGAACTCCAGGAGGGTCTGTTGGTCATTCCCAACCTGTATGATTCTGGACACTGCCACTATTCTGTGACTTTCCTTATCTGTAAATAACAGTACCTAAATCTCATACGGCTTCTGACAGTTAAATGGTTATACATTGCACAAGAATAGGGAATGTCTTATAAACATTTTCCCATGACATGATATGTAAGCAAATACTTTTTGAACAAAGGAAGTTACTATTACTTCTTCAGTGCTTATTACATTTCATTTTAAACATAAATCTGTGTTAGTTCCTGGATTCTTGAATCTATAAGGCAATCCTTTAACTGACATTCTTACTTTTTGAAATAAATATTCAGCTAATGCTGTCCAACACTGTCCAATATCTGTAAGAAAAATTTTCCAGGAATCTCTGACAATAATTGTTCAACAGGCAAATTCTGATCCTCTTTGACTACGGCACATCCAAGAATGCACATCTAAAAAAAATCCTACAAGGGATTCTGATGTAGATGGTCAGAGTACCACATTTTTAGAAGTTGAGCAAAGAAATAGTCAAGTTCCTTGGCCTTTTTCTTCCAAGTGAACTACCCTCTGGCTAACCTTGTCAATTTCCTGAAGTAGAGGAACTGAGGTCTGGATAGAATCCAAAATTTACACATGTACAGAAATTTTAAAAAATATGCAATACCACTACTGGAACCAAAAGGCGACTTATTCACATCAATTCTTATGTTTCTTTACTGATTTTTAAGATTTGTAAAAATATCAGGCTGCTTGGCAGGAATTAACTCTTCAAATGGACCACACAGACGCTTAACAAGTGTTAAATAACCACCTGATTCAATCCTTAGAGCAGTCACATTTTATTCTTTTGAACTGCTTATAGGACAATCTAAATTGATCACTGGAATTACAAATGACAAAAATACTCATGATTCAAAGGCAAGACACAGAGCTAAGACATCACACGTTCAACAGTTCATAAATACAAAAATTTTTATAAATATAAAGGAATATAATAACATTTCTTGTTAAAAGGACAACAGCTTTTAGTTCTTTGGAGATGTATGTATGCCTGAAATACTGAAAGCCATGTTCATAACCAGCTTAATGAGGATGTTGCCCACTGCCTAACATCTGTAGGACAATTGGGGTATTTCTGCAGAGCATTCATAATTTGAGTATTATCCAAAAGCAGTTTCATCAGCTGGTACTCTCTCTGTGAATTTACTGAAGTTCTTTCCATAGGCTTTATTAATTCTAATTGTTGTAAGTGTTCAAATGCCTGAAAGATGAAACAAATAGTTGAGGTTGAACAAGGGAAAAAAGTAGCAAAGTTAGCCCAGAAAATAGGGTTTAGTGGGTCATGGAATTGAGTGCCAAAAAAAAAAAAAAAAAAAAAAAAAAAAGCCCAACAACAACAACAACAAAAAACCCCAGCACAATAGGAATCAAAGGATTAACAAAAAACAAAGCTTTTATCAATCCTATAAAAACTTCATATTATGTAAAAACAGTGTCAGTGCAGTTATCTGTTCCTAAAGTGTTGAATATAAACAAGGCAAATTTTAACTCAGTCTTTACAACAAGGTCTTGTTCTTAACTTCATTCTATATCATAGTTCCTTCTGTACATCTTTTTTGGTGCTAGAGATTGAACACAGGGCCTCATGCATGCTAAGTACCCACTCTATCCTTGAGCTACATCCACGGCCCTTCCTGTGGCATTTTAATTAACAAGGGTTTCTAGTTTTCTTCTCTATAAAAGTGTAAGAATATGATAAGACTTGATTACCTGGTTACTCAAATTTGCATTTTTTTTTTTTTATTCCTGCTATCTGTAAGACTTTGCTGTATAAAAGTTAAGCACAGCTGTAATAAAGATGGAGGGAGGAAATTCCTGTGAGTATACTAAGACTATTTAGGTGATCCTTTAGTTTAGATTCTGCAGAATGGTACAGACATGGACATTCTTTGAAGAGTGCCACTGAGACTGTCAAACCTGTCAACAAGTTCTGTTCCATGTTCATCTTCCTGACCCTTTTTTCAAAAAATTTTTTAGTTGCAGTTGGACACAATACCTTTATTTTTTTATTTATTTATATGTGGTGCTGAGGCTCAAACCCAGGGTAGGTGAACACTCTACTGCTGAGCCACAACCCCAGACCCATCTTCCTGACCTTAATAGAGCCCTTCACTGTCTGCTTCTTCTTGCTTCTAATATTCACATATTACTGTCTCTTCTAAACTTGATGTTTTAGATATTAGGGTATTAAAAAATCATTGAATTGGGCTGAGGATGTGGCTCAAACAGTAGTGCGCTTGCCTGGCATGCGTGCGGCCCGGGTTCGATCCTCAGCACCACATACAAACAAAGATGTTGTGTCCGCAGAAAACTAAAAAACCACCAAATAACAGGATTTTGTCCATTAAGTTTCTTAATGGCATTAGTCTGCATTTTTGTCTCCTTATACTGCTGAAATTATAAAGCCAACTCAGGTTGGAAAAGGACAGGGTTACTATATTTGATGTGTTTTGATAGACTATAATAAACAGCTCCTTAGTAGAATGCAAATACTAACAACAGACAGCAGAGGGCAGCACAGTCCAACAAACTGTCAAACTGGCTGCCTTCAGAATGACTTGAACGTTCATTTCATTTCTGGATAATTTTTGTCTGAAAAAAATTTCTACAGTAAGTACCTAACGTTTAAAACTCAAAAGTGAAACCTTGATCTATATAATCAAACTGTATCTAAAAAAGGCACCTGTCTGCAAGAAAACAACAGTAAACCAAATCTTACCTTCATGACAACAGGTTTCTCAAAATTATACACAGAATGGGCCTTTCTTTGAACAAACTTCTGAAATTCTGGAGAGAGGGCAAAGACAACATTAATATCTTTAAATAAGCATCAGGGGAAAGTCAGAAAGAAACTACCAAAGTCTCATCTCACCATTATAGACCATTTGAAAATTAAAGGGCTCCTCTTCATAGATATCATTTAAATGTTTCATTGCTATTATAAGACAGATTTCCAAGACTGATAGACCTGTAATAGGAAAAGAGAAACATACCAAAAAATGTAGTTCAATGATATATAAGATTGAGACACCTGTCTCCAAAGAGTAAATAAAGTGAAAGATCATGGTTTTGAAGGATGGAGGAAGGAGAGGTCATTTTTCTAACTTCAAATGTGTTTCATTCACTATTATCTATGTAAACTTAAGCAAATCATTTTACCTGATATATTTTTTATTTGCATTTGCAAAGTAAGAATCTTTCTAAACTTAGAGCTGCCATAAAGAGACAATATATCAAGCACTCACAGTAAAACAACAATGAGAAACTATGATTATTATGAGATTTCAAATCACAAAAGGACCTTGAATGAGATTTACTCAGAGAATTCCAAACTCCTGGAAACTATTCAAAATTGTGTTTATCCTTCCCTCCTCCAGAGAGAATGCTCACTGCATTTATAAAAGGGATAATAAACATAAATGATTTCAATGCTAATAAAGGGTCTTCAACAGCAATT